TAAGTGGAAATCCCATCTCAGCTATTTCAAAGGAAAGTTACTGACAGGAGCTGAGATGTTTCGGTGTAAATTACCTCCAAGATCTGAGGTGTGCTTTTCAGCACTATGGATTCACTGTCAGAGAAGTGTCGTGTCTACCCTGAGAAAAAAAAAGAGTGCAGGACCACCAACAGGGAAGCAAGTTTCAAGAAGAAAAATGGTGCCCCAAATTCCTGAACCACATGAGGGCAACACCATTAATCACAATAAAAGGACATGCTTTGACAGCACCATGAAGCTGTCATTAGTGTGTATTAGCTGTCAATTCTGATCAATAGGGTGCGGAGAAAGTGAAATTTTTGAATCTTTTGTTGAGTACAAATTTGTACGCTTCAAATACCGTTATAACAACAGATGATCTATGAAAATACTGATCAGATTACCCAAGAGAATTCCATGCAATACTTCCAAGGCCGTGAGCTGTATCCACTTATAAATCTTTTGAGTCACCTATATTTGACTGAAGACAGTGGCAATGTTTCTGGTACTGGCCTAGTTTAATCAACATGAAATTAGCAATCCAGGAAAGACACCTTGATGAAAGGCAGACAAAAATAATACAAATCATCACAATGCAGTATAATACCTGCCATATGCGTAAGTCCAACAGCTTTCAGACCATGTATACATCTACTAAAGAAAAAACTCTGGACACACTGTAATGGTTTTACAGAAGCAACTTGCTCTGAAGAATTCAGGAGATGCCAATTCTGTCCGGTCATTATTAAGGCAGCATCATCAATTTTCCCACACTTTCACCAATTGGGAGATTAATGACTAAGGTCAAAAATGGGATTTCCCTTAGCAGAGAACATGGTCTCTCTTCCTCACCCAAGCCTCTGCATTTCTTGCTATTCCATATTTTATGACATGAGCTTTCTGAACTGATTGAACCAATTTTTACCTTTTTCAAGATATGTTGGTTTCTATGAACCTGTGTACCTAGAAGTGACAAGGGTTTAAAAAGAATCTACTGTTCCTTCTCACATCCTTTGTCCATCTGTACCTACCCAAAACTGAAGATGCCACATTGTGTATATCTTGACACCCTGAAAGAGGTTCTGAACAAGAGCAGGTTTTTGTTTCTGTTTTAAGAACTAGCAGGAGATATTGGGTTTTTTGTGTTTTTGTTTCAAGTTCTGCTTAGAGCCAGAAGCTAGTCAGCAAGGCAGAAATATGTCTTGGAAGAGAATGAAACTCAGCAGACAAACTGGCATTTTTCAGAAAACAATGAAATAGGTGGAACAGTAAGTAGAGAGGTTATTTTCAGAAGGTAAGTCGTGTAATAGATTTATAAATGCTATCTGTGAGGGACTTCCACATGTAAATTCCCTAGTGCTTTAAGAAATAATTTGAAAAAGGAAATCAAAAGAAATGTGATGCATTTGTGCAACATGTTTGATAAATGAAAGGCCTTATACATAATTATATTAGGTGGTGCTTAACCTATCCTAGCTGCATGGTCTGGAGTGGGGAAGCTATCTTCCAGCATTGTCCTGTAGTATTCAAAATAGCAAAGAAAAGAGTAATAGGAAAAAATACCATAATAACTGTCTATTATTAGCCAACATTTCTGCACTCATTCTGTTATGAGAGGTAACTTGTACAAAGAAGTATATTTTTATGGTCTTTAGCTACTGTTGATTTGCTTTTGTCCCAGAGTGTGATTTTCTATGCCTACACCTATGCCAGCACTTTGCAGCTGATCTTGGCAACACCTAAAAGTAATTCTAGTTCTTTTCTCTACAAGTCTATGTAAAAGGCATACATTCAGCTGCACCTGAAATGTGAAATGTGTACATGCTTTGGGCATGTTAATACATTCAAAGGTTGGAAAATTGGTCCATAGAATCATAGAATAGTTTGGGTCAGAAGGGACCTTTAAAGGCCATCTAGTCTAACCCCCCAGCAGTGAGCAGGTACATCGTCAACTAATTCTGGTTGCTCAGAGCCCCTTCCAACCTGACCTGGAATGTTTCCAGGGGCATCTACCACCTCTCTGGGCAGCCTGTGCCAGTGGTTCACCACCATCATTGGGAAAACGTTCTTCCTTATATCTACTGTAAATATACCCTCTTTTAGTTTAAAACTGCTATCCCTTGTCCTATCACAAAAGGCTCAGCTAAAAAGCCTGTCCCCATCTTTCTTAGAAGCACCCTTTAAGTACTGGAAGGCTGCAATAAGGTCTCCCCAGAGCCTCTCTTCTCCAGGATGAACAACCCCAATGCTCTCAGAGCCTGTCCTCACAGGAGAGATGTTCCATCCCTCTGATCATTTTTGTGACCCTCCTCTGGACCCACCCCAATAGGTCCAATTGTTTCCTGTGCTGAGGGCTCCAGAGCTGGACTCAGGACTCCAGGTGGGGTCTCAC